CTCACCCCTTAGGGCCCCGCTGTGGTCACCCCCCTCCTCACACGCACACAGCACCTCCAGAGCTCTCTCCTGGCCCCTCTGGCCCCCCACACGGCCGCCCCACGTTCAGCTCCATCACTCCTCCCCCCTGGTGAAGCGCCGCCTCTCGAGGCGGACCAACGCTCCCGCCTCTACCGCAACACCCTCCCTCAGTCACCACCCCTCGCCGCCTCTAACCGTATCTCCGCCGAAGCACCGTGCCCGGGGCCTCCACACGCCATTTTGAGCGGTGTTTACCAACAACGTCTCGCGAGAAGACGGCGGCCAACAGCGTCGGGAAGATGACCTGACGCTCAACATCGGGGGAGGAGGGGCGCATGCGCAACACTCCGGAGCCGTTAACAGGGCGATAGGCGCGCATGTGCGTCAGGAGTCTCGCGAGGCTTGGTGCGGGATACAGGTCTTTCAGGGTCGCATGCCCCGGCTGGAAAGCACGGCGTACCTACAGCAGCCTGGGGCTCGCCTCCGGCAGCCGCGAACTCGCGTGTTCTCCACGCTCACGCTGCCGCGGGGGGGGGGAGGGAGGATTTGAGCCCCTCAGTAGTGCCATGCTGTGGAGGGGCCGGGGGGACAGAGCAGGGCTGGGGGTGATTTGTGGGGTGTAACGCCTGGCGGGGGGGCTACCCAGCGCGCTGGAGGGGCGACTGTGGCTGGGGTTGGGTAGTTACTGTTCACCGTGCCTCCAAGGGACGAGATCACCTGGGCACACGCCCAGAGACCGTGTGAGAAAAGAAGAGTGACTTCCTCAAGTAGACTAGGGAGATCCTGGCACAGCATTTAATGTTAAATTCAGTCTCCTCTCTTGCGGAAATGCACGTGTATTCATTCCCTAACGCTCAAGAAGCAGGCCCATTAGCGTGGCTTGACTGAAGTTAGCCCACGAAAGCTTATGCTCAAATAAATGTTAGTCTCTAAGGTGCCACAAGTACTCCTGTTCTTTTTGCAGATACAGACTAACATGGCTGCTACTCTGAAACCTGTCAAATAAAGTTAGTCTTCCAGGAGAGGCAGCTGTACTACATTTTTTATCGGGGGTAGCCATGTTAGTCTGTATCTACAAAAACAACAAGGAGTCTGGTGGCACCTTAAAGACTAACAGATTTATTTGGGCATAAGCTTTTGTGGGTAAAAACCTCACTTCTTCAGATGCATAGAGTGAACGTTACAGATGCAGGCATTATATACTGACACAGGGAGAGCAGGGAGTTACTTCGCAAGTGGAGAACCAGTGTTGACAGGGACAATTCAATCAGGGTGGATGTAGTCTACTCCCAATAATAGATGAGAAGGTATCAATTCCAGGAGAGGAAAAGCTGCTTCTGTAATGAGCCAGCCACTCCCAGTCCCTATTCAAGCCCAAATTAATGGTGTTAAATTTGCAAATGAATTTTAGTTCTGCTGTTTCTCTTTGAAGTCTGTTTCTGAAGTTTTTTTGTTCAATGATAGTGACTTTTAAATCTGTAATAGAATGACCAGGGAGATTGAAGTGTTCACTTACTGGCTTATGTATTTTACCATTCCTGATGTCCGATTTGTGTCTATTTATTCTTTTGCGGAGGGACTGTCCGGTTTGGCCAATGTACATGGCAGAGGGGCACTGCTGGCACATGATGGCATATATAACATTAGTGGATGTGCAGGTGAATGAGCCCTTGATGGTGTGGCTGATGTGGTTGGGTCCTCTGATGGTGTCGCCAGAGTAGATATGGGGACAGAGTAGGCAACGAGGTTTGCTGCAGGGATTGGTTCCTGGGTTGGTGTTTCTGTGGTGTGTGTAGTTGCTGGTGAGTATTTGCTTCAGGTTGGGGGGTTGTCTGTAAGCGAGGACTGACCTGCCTCCCAAGGTCTGTGAGAGTGAGGGATCATTTTCCAGGATAGGTTGTAGATCGTGGATAATGCACTGGAGAGGTTTTAGCTGGGGGCTGTATGTGATGGCCAGTGGTGTTCTGTTATTGTCCTTGTTGGGCCTGTCCTGTAGTAGGTGATTCCTGGGTACCGTCTTGCTCTGTCAATCTGTTTCCTCACTTCCCCAGGTGGGTATTGTAGTTTTATGAATGCTTGATAAAGATCGTGTAGGTGTTTGTCTCTGTCTGAGGGGTTGGAGCAAATTCGGTTGTATCTTAGGGCTTGGCTGCAGACAATGGATCGTGTGATGTGTCTTGGATGGAAGCTGGAGACATGTAGGTACGTATAGCGGTCAGTAGGTTTCCGGTATAGGGTGGTGTTTATGTGACCATCACTTATTTGCACTGTAGTGTCCAGGAAGTGGATCTCTTGTGTGGACTGGTCCAGGCTGAGGCTGATGGTGGGGTGGAAATTGTTGTTTTTACATTTTCTATCTTACCTTTAACTGGCAGGGTTGATTGGCCCATGCAAAATAAGACCAGCTTTGTTCTCTTCTGACTCCAGGAGAGTGAAGGCTTCTGCTAATGCATATGATAAACAATGCTGCAAGCGTCTCTGCTGCCACTATACTTTAACTCTGAGCTGGAAGGACCACTTCTGCAAATGAGTAGAGCCTTGCAAATACACAGGTATCCACTTTAGAACTGCGGATGCGGATATCCGTGGGACCATTTCTGCGGATACCAGCATGCATGCAGATACAAATTTTGTATCCATGCATGGCTTTGATGGTAAGAGCGGGCAGGCAGCTGAGAGGAACTGGGGTGCAGATCCTCCACCTGCCCTGGGCAGAGGACCTGGGAGGCAGGGCCAGGGGCTGCTCGGGCCCCATACCCAGGGCAGGTGGAGGGTCTGCGATGGCTCCCCACAGCTGCCTGCCCAGCTCTTACCGTGACTGGGCTGCAGCTCCCAGCTGCCCCACTCCCCGGCCAGACCTGGGTCGGGGAGAGTTGTGCTGGCAGCTGAGGGGAGCCTGGGTCCCTCCACCTGCCCTGGGTGGGGGGCTGTTTGGGTCCCATGCCCAGGACAGGGGGAGGGTCCGCTGCAGCTCCCCACAGCTGGACTCGGGGGGCAGGGCTCGGATAATTAGATAATTAGCCCCTCTACTGATGCTAACATTGATGGCACAGTTGGGAACTAGTATAAATAAACGTTTGTGGTGTATTGTGCAGTTTAGACCCTTGGTCATAGCACAGTGTGTCACAAATATTTTAATTGTTAGTCCTGCAGCTCCAATACACCTTAAGAGAGCAAGCTAGATTCTACTGTAGTTCACACAATCAGCTAATTATTTTTAAGCTAACAAGGATGCACAAGCTGGGGGAAGGGAAACAACTTTCAGCTCCTCCATGAGTCTCAACTGCTTGTAGTTAAGAAGAAAAGTATTTTCTTCAATCAATTGAGCACATTTGATCTGGAATTACTCACAAATATTGAGTCCCTCGGTTTTAGTCACTTTTTCAGCTACAACCATAGTTTTATGACAAAGTATATTATAGCCAATGAACACAGACAGTTTTTATTCGACAGTATAGAGATTGTACAGCTTTCCAAGACACACAATGTATATGGAACTAAGATGCACTATATACAGTGTGATTAACTAGAAAGCTTTCACTTCACTTTATCACTTGTACAGGTGGATTCCCCCCTCCCCCCCCCCCCCTTTAATAATTTAGTGATTATTTAAATTCTAATGAAGGTCAGAAATTGACGACACTAGCTAAAGCAGGAAATCACATTAGAAAGACACGGTGCAAGGTTCTTCGCACTGCTATCCCAGTGCAAGATGTGCATTATTTTGCAATACAGACAACAGGTACTTGAGACCACCAAACTAATCTCACAAATGATCACAACTGAAGTGGTCTTAAACCTTAAGCCTAGTCCATCCTTAACCTACTGTTTCTCTCACTTATATCTAATTTTTTGTTTTTAAGTGCTCTGACTTGGCTGTTTATTCACAGGTCACTGACTAGGACCCCAATTCCTGCAAAGACTTAAGGATGTGAATAGTTTGAGTATGGACCTATTCATGTGCTTAAAGTTGAACATGAGAAAGAACCAATCACTTTATCAGTGTTTTCTTGAAGACAAAAGTTTGTCTTTCTTTAATAAAATGTGTGCAGTTTGTGTACACCATTTTTGCATGTACCCACATTTATCTAAAGCAGTCTTTTTCATGAGCACGAGTCATTACCCAAACCATATAGGCTTATAGGAAACAAATAAATTAGAGTTGTTAGACCCAACTGAATTTCACTCTCGGCCGTAACTCAGTTAGCCAATTGCTAATTAGCATTGCAAGTATACTGAGTCATAAAGCACTTTGTCTCATTTTTATATAATAAAAACCTGTGGGAGGTTTCACAGTATGAACTATCTGTATATTGGATTTTAAAGAGATCTGACCCAAAATACCACAAAATATGTTTTAGAATTAGCCATCTTGTAACAGGTTTGTAATTAGTCAAATCGGCACCCATCCTTTATTCAGTTGGGGCTGAATTCTAATCCCCCTGTACAAAGTAAATATTCAGGCTTTGCACAGGGCACCTACGGTAAGTGGAGTTGGGTGGTGGGGGAGAATCCTGCTTTCCCAACCCACAGGTGGCATGAAGGAGTCAGTTTTATTTTGCAGCCACAACTGCATCATCTGGGATCTATCAGAGGCTATAACCTGCTAATTGCCCTCCACCGTGGGGTTTTGGGCAATGGATAGATGTAGTTGTTGGACCCATGTGAACTCTCTCGCCATGTTGCTGCCATGAAGCACTGCTCTGCTGTACAAGAGGTGCAGAGTACTCCTGCGGGGTCTCCCTCCCTCCCGCAGCGGAGCTGTACATTGTTGCTACTGCTCTTTAGGCCTGTATCCCACACAAGACGTTGGCATTGAATGTAGGGCAAATCCTGTCCTCATGGGTAACAGATCTATTAACACAAATTAGAAGATATAGAAGATACCCACTGCTCTACCAGATACTACATGAAGTTACTTCTGCATCATTATTCTATATTTTAATGGTCTCATTATAACAGTTAAGGGGGTGGTAATACAGAATCCTAATGATATTACATAGAAAACTGAGTGATAAATCTACTATGCATAATTCAGATTCTGGTTTAACATGGGATTTATATGTAGACAACAACAACAAAATAGCACATTTGACTCCCAGAAAATTTAGTTTTTGTGATGAGTATTAACACCACAGTATATGGTACAAGGTGGACAGAAAGTAGTAAAAAAAATGCTACAGTACTAGCTACATAAAAGCAAATGTTACAAAATTACATAGGGTTTTCACTTACAGAAGAAAGAAGACCTAAATATATTTTAAAAAGCTCAAAAGACTCCACCTTAAATCATGGACTTTTTAAAATAGTTTAAGTATCTGATTAAATTCTTCAGACATCACAGATTATTAATGGAGTATCCACTTGAAAATTGGATCAAAATCTTTCACACTTGGTATAGGAAAGCAAGCAAACATTTTTATTTGAACTTTATTGCTGCTCTATCATAGCAATACAGAACACACACAAACAAAAGAGTTAATTAACTAAAAAGCCTTAAATGCATTCTACCTTTTCCCCAGTTTTGAAAAGTAACCTTATACATTTTTCAACGTAATACCTGCAATGACAAGATTGGAAAACCAACACAAGATAGTCCACTGAAAATCTGAGATTGTCTTTATAACACAACATGATTTGGGATCCCCTTCAACTCTTCCAGTGCCCAATCCTGCAAAACACCGGGCTATCTAAATTCCATTCATATTATTAGGATTTCCATAACCAGTCAATTCCATGCAGGATTAGTACACCGCCCACTCTCATTCAATTACACGAGAAACTCAGAGATTTAACTATCTGAACTAAACTCGACAAAAAACAGTTATGTCCTCAGCTTTTGCTCTGGGCCCAGTAGTACAAAGAGAGGGGCAGATCCAGGCTTCTCTGGTAACTATGGTACGTATATTGTTTGTGATGAAAACATATTAGCAAACTGTTTTTTGTTTTTTTTTTTTAAAAGAGTTCTTCCAATGCTCAAATTAGGTTACTGCAGTAGTTTAGCACATTGGCTATTTCCTAGAGGATATTCCTAATATATTCTGTGGGATAAGGCGTCCCGACGTAGCGCACTGTTGAGAATCTGCATTCCCCAAACCCAGAACCATTCTGGCATGTACTGTACAAGCAGAAACTACAAAAGAGAGAGGGGGGAAAAGGTTAAAGGATCTGTTCTGTCTAGGTAAACTTGCAGTTTTTCGAACTACCATGAAAGTACAACTCCTTTTCTGAACATCAACACTTATTATTTTACATTAAATAGAACAAACTACAGTATATGACAATTAAAATTAAAAACAAATGCTGTAACTAAATATAATGTTATGGACCTTAGAACCACCTTACTCATACAGGTGTAAGATCAGGCTCTGCAAATATATCTTAGTTGTTTATTCATAAATTCCATGCTCTCCCCTTCATTTCTTCCTAATCTCCACCCCTTACGTCCCTCCTTCTTTCCCACTTTACAAAATGATCCAAAATTAACCAGATGTCATTAGTGCTCACACCAGTCCCTTTGCAAAGTGAGGTTATGGGCACATACTGTGCAATTAAAAAAAGGAAATTACATTAAACGGGGAGACATTTTCAGGTAGTTGTGGCTAAAGATGTGGATTTTGTAACAATTTTTTTAAACACAACAAATATTTTCAGGAAATTTTAAGTGTAATTCAATGAAAACAGTTACTGAACTGTGACATATTCAAGTTAAGAGAGGTGCAAGATGTTATAGAAGAACAACCATACTGGGTCAGACCAAAGATCCATCTAGCCCAGTAGCCTATCTTCCGACTGGCCAATGCCAGGTGCCCCATAGGGAATGAACAGAACAGGTAATCGTCAAGTGATCCATCCCCTGTCAACCATTCCCTGCTTCTGGAAAACAGAGGCTAGGGACATCATCCCTGCCCATCAAAGCTAATAGCCATTGATGGACCTATCCTCCATGAACTTACCTAGTTCTTTTTTGAACCCTGTTTTAGTCTTGGCTTTCACAATATCCTCTGGCAAGGAGTTCCACAGACTGACTGTGTATTGTGTGAAAAAATACTTCCTTTTGTTTGTTTTAAACCTGCTGCCTATTAATTTCATTTGGTAACCCCTTATGTGTTTTTGAATGCAATTTTTTTTTAATTTGGGCTGCAAATTAAAAGTAGCAATCAGATTCTCCCTCTTCTCCTAAGGCAAAATATGTAGTCCAGTCATAATTTGACTAAACATGGAAGTGGTCAAGAAATATGGAGCAGTGCCTCTGGTTTAGGTTAATTGGTTTGTGCTGCTGATTAGAACAAATGTCCAAAACTTTGCACTTGTTTTAGCTTCTCGACTCCCATGAAAATCAATGGAAAACACAAAATTAAATTTCCCCCTTTGAAAAAGTAATGAGATTTACTAATGTAAACTAGTTGGATTAATTATGTTACCTGAATAGAATGGATCCAGTATCCTGTAGTCCTTCTGGATATCCCAAGCGTGGAAACAGCATGATGTGCATATACTTTAGCTGAAGGCACAAAAAAAAATTTGTTTGACAGAATGCGATCACCAAATTGTGTCATGTTTGTGGAGATGAAGAATGGGATTAAACTCTGAATAAAGATTCCTTTTGAAGCATATTCGTAATGTAGTGCTCTACTGAAGTGGTCCAAGTAGGCCTGGCAAGATAAAAGCAGAAAATTAGGATTCCTCAATTTTGTATGGGGAGGAGGGGGGTAATAAAGTCTTGATGTAAAGTATTATTAAAACTAGTATCTTGGACAAATATACTACTATTCTGTCAAAAGGGTTATAAAAAAAGAAAACCTATATTTTGACATAAATACTAGAAAAAAAATCCAAAATATGTTTTTATGGCATGACCATGATTTCCAGTTTTCAGCATCTGTTTGTTTTTTTCAGCAAATTGTAGGAGACCCAGTTAATTAGTTTAAAGGTATGTCAATTTTAAAGACCCTTACTTCTGGCTGAACTTTTTGTTGTATTGAAACCTACTATTGGTGCAAACACTACCTGAATTTACAACCAAAATATTTTTTCTTTAATACCTATTTTTTTTCCAGTTTACTTAGTGCATTAGACAGCAGTGTGTGGCGTCATTTAGGTCCTGCTCCTGCAAACATTATACATGTGCTTAACTTTTCATGTGCACGTAGTCTCACTGAAGCTAACAGAAGTACTCGTGTGTAAAATTACACACATGCATGTTTACAGAATTAAGGCCTGGGCATGGCCATGGTTAGTCAGATGCCTGCGATATCAGTGCAGTGCTGGTAACTAAGTGGACAGCCAGTACGATCCTGGATTCCCACATGCGCACATACTTTCTGCATTGCTCCATGACTCATGGGATTCTCTCCCACAGTTGCTCATGGGGCATAGTGGGAAAAAGGGAGTCATCTTCCCTTCCCAAACTCACTCTGCTTGTGGAGGGGAAACAAACTAAACATTAACAAAACAACCCCCCCAAAAAACTTTAAAAATAAAAATAATATGCCTGAAGCAGAAACTGAACCTGCAATGTCAATAGCCCCGCTAGTGCTTCTCTAACTCCTGGTAGCCTTGGCCATGATCCTGCAAACACTTAGCCTGTTAGAAGTTCAGCTGAAGTCAGTGGGATTACTCACATGCTTAAAATTAATAAAGTGTTTAAAGGACTGGGGCTGTCGTAATCCTACCCCTTCATGGGATCTTGTATGGAGGAGGCAGGAAGTCTCTGATACTAGTTCTACTGCTATCACGAGGATTTTGGTCACTTCTAAAACTTCTAGGCACTACTGTAATATTAATATATGAAATTCCACATCTAGGTAAGTGAGACATTAAGGCACATCCTTTTCTCTAAATTTTGCAAAAAATAGCACTTTACTGTTCTGAAACTGACATTTAATAAAGGATTAATTTAACAACAAAAAGAACTACCAGCAAGTAGCTACACTAAACTACTTTTAGAGGTTTAATATAATCCACAGCAAATTACTGGGAACACTTTGCCACAAACTTAAAAAAATAGTGTTATATGAGAACCTGAGAGTCTCATGTTTTAGCTAGGTAGAATATATCTTAAAACATCTGAAATGACCTGGGACTTGCCCTGTGGGGGTGCCTAGAGGGGAGAGGCAGAGAATGAAGTCCAGAGCCTTCCCTCTTCCTCTGTAGGGAGAAGGCACAGTCCTTGTGCTTCAGACGGCCCAGGCTAGCATCATTTGTGACACCAGCCATTCTAAATGGACCAACGGGTAAAGCCATTTTTTGTATAGCATTTACCAAATGGTGCCCTGATCCATGACTGGCGTTCTTAAGCAGTACTACAATACAAATAAATAGCCTCACGCCCCTAGTGAAGCTCAATTGGCATGGTAGGGTTAAGCACATTCTGCACCCTGGCTTACCTTGGAGGCTGAATACGCTGCCATCTGTGGTGTGGGTTTGCAGCAGGATCCAGAAGAAACATTCACAATCGCACCTCTTTTCCTCTGTACCATCCCTGGCAGCACTATATGCACCATCATGTTAGCGGCAGCAATATTTACATTGACAATTTCCCATAGTTTGTCCTCAGACAACCTGGTAAAATATTCCGGGTAGGTATAAAACACTCCTACATTATTCACCAAAATCCCAATGTCTTTGTCTCTGAGGGCTTCCTTAATGGAAGAGTAAATCTCACGACCTTTGCTGAAATCTGCTACTATAACAGCAGTTTCAACTTTATAGGTTTCGGTTATGTCTTTAGCTACGGCCTCCAGCTTCTCTTTGCTCCGGCTGATTAAGATAATGTTGATGCCACGGCTTGCCAGTTCTTCAGCATAGGCTTTTCCAATGCCAGCTGTGCTACCTACAGTAGAAAGTAAGATAGTAATGTGGAGATACAGCAGCTAATATGGTGACCTCAGTTTTCTGTTTCCACTTTTATTTCATTATGATATTGTTCCCCCTCAAGGTGATAAGAAATAAGTGATCAGCCCTGATCTCAATAAAATCATGCCAGAGAGAGACTTGTCTGCTACAATCAGTTAAAACCCCAAATCATAAAGTAGTAAATGTAACTATGAGAGTGGCGTAGGGTTTAGAACACGGGATTAGAAGACTGAGGCAAGTCTAGTGAAGAGAGTATGTCAGAGGTGCAAATTTTACCCTGAGCCAAATCTGAGTGCTTTGTGAAAGTCGTTATACACAGAATGTGAACAAGATAGTGGGTACATATCTGCCTGCCATTCTGCTCCTCCAGTAGTCACTTTTTAACTAGAGGTCTCTGCTCATCTTCTTAGATGTCAACAGCTTCTGAGTCTGATCAGACACGCAGAATCGCTAAGTAAAGGAAAAAGAATGGCAGAATCCAGTAATATCTGCATGGAAAGAGGTTGTGTCAGATTGTAAAAGCATGACTGAAGTCAGTAGGACTCCCTAAGCTCTGAGACACTGGATCCTCTGTTTAAAAGGGATGAAAACTATTGCTGGAGAGTTTAATTGTCAATGCTGTTATTTCAGGGCCAGTATTTACTATGAAAGGTCCATATTCATCTGAAAAATAGCTCCACAAAATATAGTAACATATATCACCAACGGGTAGATAATTACTAAGGGCAAGGAGGGGAAAAGCATCTTTCAAATCAAACACAAGTACGACTGGCTTTCAGATAAAAATAACAGACACACTGTTGCGTTCTCTTACCAGTGACTACAGCCCATCTTCCATACTGCTTGACAAAATCAGCCCTGCTCACCAGCTTGGGGATGAAATGCAACCTGATCAAGCTGTAAGAATCACACACAAGAGTGAAGCATTTTCTGGCCACATACCAGGCTCCAACTAAAGCCAGTGCCTCCATATAACAACTGCAGGAACGACCAATCTCCCTATACAAGAGGTAGAAACTGTCAACTGCAGCCATGGCAATCAGAAATCTAAAAAAAGAAAATACAGGTGATATATAAGCAATTATCAAACCCCCTCTGTTTAGCAGAACACAAATATTACACGGACCATAGCTTTAGAACACAGAATAATCTGATTGAAATGAGGTGGAATTTTATTCTTTTTGTACTGATGTTTAGTAACATTTCAAGATGGAAGGAAGCCAGGACACCAACACAGAACCATGCAACTGTCGAACATTTGGAAAGTCCACTGTTAACATCAACAGTCTGACTTTCCTTTTCCCATAATGTAAGACAGTTTATCACCACCTCCCCACAAAATAAGATTGTTTCAAATCCACCCTACTTAAAATCCTGATCTATAGTTCATCTTTTCTTGGCTTCTTGATTGCAACGCTTCCCCAGACAGCAACAAAAATGAAAAAGGTTTAGAAAACCTGACCTATTAGGAAAGGTAAAAAAATCTGTGCATATTTAGACTTGAGATAAGACGACTAATGGGGGACCTGATAGCCTTCACATATGTTACAAAGAGGATGTTGATCAATTATTCTCCATGCCTAGTGAAGGTAAGGCAAGAAGTAAGGGGCTTAATCTGAAGCAAGGAAGATTTTCGTTAAATATTTGGAAAATCTTTCTAATGATAAGGGTAGTTAAGCACTAGAATAGCCTTCCAGGGGAGGTTGTGGAATCCCCATCATTGGAGGTTTTTAAGAACAGGTTGGAGAAATACCTATCAGGGATGGTCTATGTTTACTTGGTCCTGCCTCAGGACAGAGGACTGGACTCCATCCTTTCCAGCCCTACATTTCTATGATTCTTGGTGTCCCAAGTCCTATCTCCAGACTGTCACATGAATGATGATTTCACCCATCCTACTGCATGTTCCCACACATGGGCAATCCCCTACAACACCTCTAATTCCCTATTACCTCCAAGATCAAAACTGCAGTCCTTGTTTTGAAGACACTACATGGCCTTGCACTGGCCTCGCGCTCATTTCTTCATGCCGACTTCTGCTCATTCTGCACCTACCTCTTCTTTCTGTCCCAGCCCCCACCAATTTCACCACGATTGGTGCAAAATCCTTCTACTTTGCTACTCCAACTACCTAAAAGTGTTTCCCTTTATCTATCACCTCCCCACCCCCACCCCCCCCATTTGGCTTTCCATTTCTTTTCAAATCTCAGGTGAAAAGATCACTTTCATCCCTCCTATGTATTATTTAATTTCCTCTCTGCTATTGTTTTGGATTTATCTCTGTAATTGTATTATTTACTCCTGTGAAGCATTTGGGCATGTGAGACATTCAGGCTTGGCAGAATTCAATTTTTATTTTTTTCTAATTTTGACAGATAATATCAATGTTTATTTTTAAACTTTTTTCTATTTTTATCAACTTACATTTTCATAGTTTCACAAAATTTGGGGTTTAAAGATTTTTTTTATTACCTATTTATATCTGCACAGTAGCAGGAAAGTGTTCGGGGTGTCAGACAATTATTTAACAACAGCCTCTAACAAGTTCTCAAGAAGAATTTCTCTTAGTTTGCTAATCTTTAAATTTCAATTATCATCTACGGAAATACTGTTTAGTCAGTTTGTGTGTGGTGAAATAGATACCCACATTTAGCAATAAAAATCTGATCTTTCCCAGCCTAAAAATGCTACATACAGCATATAGTTGCAACATATTGTACATATTCTACTCCTACAAGTGCTTGTAAAATGTTTTGCCTATGAACATTATTTTCTGCTGCTGTGATTGCAACACATAGGAACTGGCAAGAGATTAGGATTAGAAACAGGGAGTTAGAATTCCACAACAGGATAAAGAAGTTTATGTGAACCACTCCTCTCCATTAATTAAAGACATGCACAGTTCAGTATTTGTATAGTTACTTGCTAATTATGGGATGCATATACTGTATCTTGGATTCAGAAAATACTGTGGAAAGTGCAGCCCACATGCAATCTAACAGAATTCAATGCTAGTTTTGTCAATGTCTTCAACATGATCATGAAGAGAAGCTATGAGATTAATATAGTTCTACTGGTCAGACACACAGGGTGAAACAAAAAAGCAAGCTCCTGAAAACCTGTAGTTACAGTCATAAAATACAGTATTGAGGAAAGGGGTGGATTAATAAAAAAGACTCTCTGTCCCAACTAAACTTCAACTCTGGCTATTCTGTTCTGACCTACCTATGTTTCTCCTATTGTTTCAGTTGAAGATATTCTTCCATTTCTCTCCTAAATTAATATGCAGTATTCCTAACTTTGGAATATTAAGTTATATGCCACATCCTACTTGCGAAATGACTACATTTTAGTGAAGGGTTTATTGACCCATATATTGTCTATAAAGCCCACTGCAATCTGCTTCTTTTGGATAAAACATACTAATTGTGAAGCTTAATAGGCATGTGAAAAATTATCATCACTTTGAGCTAAATTGAACAGCATATTTCTTATTTTACTAGATCGAACTATAGTCCATCTTCTTAGTATGCAGAAACAAGCAAAAACTAACATATCACAACATAAAGGTTCACATGTTCAAAAGTACATGCCCAATGCACACACATCTAAACTGGGGATTTGTAAACTCTCCAACGGCTCCAACTTATGCATGTACCCTGGGTTGTCTACAAAACACTTGGAAATGTGGGTCAAAATGCTGATCTCAAATTCTAGTTTGTTGCCCAAAAGACCATAAAGTTCATGCAGTACTAATGTAAAATGTAGTTTTGTGCATGTGAATTGTCACCATATAAAAAACTGAATTCAGCTACATGAGTCTTTTCAACAGCCTATTATTTATTCTGCAGCCATTAATTACTCTTTCACTGATTATAAGTGACCATCAGTTTACAAGCTAGTCATTTCAAAAACTGATTTTGAAATCATGTCAGATACTACACATACTGCTGATTCATCATGCCAATATTTGTGGTTTTACAAATATATTTTCTGAAGTTTTATCCTGCTCTAATATTTTAACATTCCATGTTGCTGTGTGAGAGAGACCCACCCACACCAAAGGGCAAACAATCTATGCAGGAGATACTGTTGAAACTGACTATATACAAAGTGCTGTAAAACACAAACTTTAGCAGAAAAGGTGATTTTTTTTCCTTCTCACCTCTTTCAGCTAGTCATTACTTGTAATAGAAGTAAGTAATACAGACAGAAGGGCAGTTTTTAACTTGATGTTATCCCTTTAACTGCCCTCACAGATTTAATGCTCTTATCAGATAATCCCTGCAGGTTGTTTGCTTCTAGAATGTTTCTAGTCTGGTCCACCAAACCACCACCCTCTCTGCATTCAAATGCGGTCTTAAAACTTATCTCAACTGCAACAGCCCACAAGTGATTCAATTATAATATTTTAAACAATTTTGTTTTCCCACCCATTTGTACACATACCTAAACTGAGTTACTATATGATCTACTATTTACTTGCATCACCCCACTGCCATAGTATCCAAGTACCTTCTAACTATTTCAAAACAGAAATAATCTCTCTCATCCTGATGGAGAAATAATGTGGCTAGTTTGCCTGTTAACGCTTGTCCTTCCCCTCCCTATTATTTGTACCTTCACTCACCCAGATCATATCTATTATAAATGTGTCAGTTCTTCAGGGCAGGGACCTTATCTTTCCATTTGTTCTCCAAATCATCCACTGCACTTCTGGCCATTATGAAATAAATGATAATTCTTTGAAGTCATAAAAATCTCAAATTCCTGAGAAAGTCTGAATTTATTTTTTCCAAACTAAGTAAAATAAAATACATTTTGTATTCATTTAAATCTGAAAACCGAAATTAACTTCACATTTTTAAGGAGGAGGAATATCTTCTATCAGATGCGGCTGTGAGGGGCTCTAACTGAAAAGTAAAATCATTTTAAATTTATTTCTATAAAGGCAGTGGTAAAACTAAGATAAACCTCCAGTTTTAGGGACCAATCTGTGGTGGTGCTTTCAACAAAATATGTTAAAACAACTTCAGGAATGATTGGCGGATTAGACCCTTTTGAATAGTATTAAACACGCTGAAGTCTGCATGAGGAACATGGATGTTTTACTGGCATTGGACATCAAACACAGAAAAAAATTGACTCCCAGTTAGGGTTGCCACCTGTCCAGGTTTTCCCAGGATCGTTCCTTTTTGGAGGTAGTTGTCCCAAGAAACCTGTAAGGGAGGCTTAGTACACATTAGCAGCTGTCCAGTTTTATGGGCTCAGGATCATGCTGTCTGTCTCTCTTTTTTTGTACCTCAGAGGTGGCAACCCTTTTCCACTGCAGATGGGACGGATTAAGGGCCTGGGGAAAACAATACATTGGTGTAAAAAAACATCTGGTCCTTAACTGACCTAAAAGTGCCCCTTTAATCTAATGCATGCATGGAGTTCTCAGTACCAAAGACATCATCTTAAGAGGAAAAAAAACTCAAGATCAATACAATATAAAAGAACCTCTGCTTGTTAACAAAACTCTCCATAAGACTCAACCAAAGCCTGCCCAAGCTAATAGCTCTTACACTATATCCAGAGGGCTGCCAAATGCAGATTCTGGTGAACTGCTGAGGACAGCAGACTATACAAGCATGCCTCTGCTGTGAATGTCCTGCCACCAGGAAAGTAATCCCAGAACAGACCTGACAGATCTCAACTTCCATGGTGGGGCATTTTCATTTCTTATTCATAGAGCACTGTAACTGTACGTGACACTTTCCACAACACACAGAAGGCTTAGGTCCCTGTCCTGAAGGGGTTACAATCTAATTTTAACAAATACAATACTGTATATAGCACAAGTACACACAGAAGAACCATTGTGGAGGAGATTAATAATGGAAGATTACAAAAATAGGTGGGGTTTAAAGCGATGAAGGAAGCTGCTTGGCATACAGGAAAGGGGGCTGCATGAGAGATGGTGAAAAACCAGGAGTAAGAGGAAACCAAAGAAGTTGGAGAGGATATGGAGGACGAGAGGGAAGTTTATGATGCAATGATGTTTGAGATGTATTAAAAATAGTAAATGGTCAAAACTCCTCAACTCTCTTTTTAAAAGTGGATGGTTCTATCTTTATTTCAATCACCGATGTTGACATTTTAATCTATTTAACAATTACCTCCTAAGTAAATATATTCAGGATAAACTGCTTCTATTTTATCGTCATGTTTGTAAATTATCCAACTAAAACAGCTGTCTTCAGTCCTTATCTATACACAAGACACTGTTGCTTATGTGTTTCATTTTATTGAAACATGGTTTTTCATGTTATTACCCTACAGAAAACAGAACCACAGAGTCACTGGCCCAAGGAACTCACAATTTATACAAACACAAACTACAAATCAGATAGAAAATACAAGTAACCAGAGGATGGATTCTGCACAGTGCAGGTTTTATGTAAATAATATAAAAGTAGAACAACAGATTTTACATCTAGAAATGTGACAGCAAGATACTCACACATCCATGGCTTGAAGGAGTATCACAGAAATGCTAGGTCTCTCATCACTTGCTGGAATTTCACTTATTCTTAAATAGGTTATGGTTGGCTCAATTGAACATGCCTAACTGCAACTATAATGCTACTGCACCTTTGAGAGGGCGTACGGACGTATTTTTAATCCTTGAGATCAGAAGCAACAGATCTTGGCATTACAGTCTGAATTTATTACTTGGGATGCCCTATAGCTGTATTAGCTATTAAATGGAGGTGAGCCCAGAAAAGTATTGCAGCAGAGTCTGGTGTAATGCTCCTCAGTTGGCAAGTGGCAGGATTGCCATGACCAATATAAATAGAGAGATTTACTTCCAGCCTGATGCACACAAGATCTATTCCCTGCATACACACACTCTTGTGCCCTATGAGTTCAGTAAAGCACCATCACATTTTGAAAAAGACAGAAAGCTTCCAGGAAAATATCCTGGGACAGTCAATGCTTCACTCTTCGCGAATCAGATAATCTTGCTTCAAAAATGGCCATGTTTCTCCTCCCCCACCACTCCACTCGCCATCTGTACCCCCATGTCTTTTGCCCCAAATCTCTTCAGTCCACACAATTCTAATTTTATCTTCCAGCCCATTTGAAGCCCGCGTGCATATATTATATCCCAAAATTATGCCTGCTTGCTTTGCTGCTTTAAAACGTTGTACAGACACATTTAATGCATTATTGACAAACACCTCCCCATATTTCTCTTGGCTTCTCTGTATTATTCTTCCTTGTATGCTATCGGCTAAGTCGACTCAAGGTCTTTGCTGGCAGCAGCAGATGGAGATCTCTGGCAGCATACAGACTAGTAGGGGGCTGCAGGTGGATAGCATTGGTTGAAGAGGATGCAGGGTCAGAGCAGCTAGGAGATGTGTTGATCCAGCGCATCCTATACCAGCAGGGTTCCTGACATAATTCAGAGCTGCCTTTTCCCAGTGGCAACTGCGAGGGAGCAGTACTACCACCTGTTCTCTCTGGTTGAATCACTCCCCTGTTGATCACAGCAGGAATGAATCTGACCATATGCCTACTTTTGGTTCTCTCATCAATCACTCAATTTACACTGAAATTCACACAGCACTCTCTCTGGAATATTTGTTTCTCTGCTTTTCTCTATTTATTCACTTGTGTAAGTCAAGGCCATTTACGTACCAAAAAAACAGAAGTGGGACTGACACTTACCCACAAAGTACCCCCCCTTTCATCGTGAATGATTTCCCTTTGCTAACCCTGTCCTCTCTCTAGGCCAATGGTTCTAAAACTTTTATACTGGTGACCCCTTTCACATAGCAAATCTCTGAGTGTGACCCCCCTTATAAATTAAAAATACTTTATAAATGCTGGAGGCAAAGCGGGGTTGGGGTGGAGGTTGACAGCTCACGACCCCCATGTAATAACCTCGCGACCCCCTGAGGGGTCCCAAACCCCTGCTCTAGGCCATTTTCTCATATCAATACTTTTCTATTCTAAGCTTTTTGACCCTGTCAGTTTCCTACCTTGCAGAATTTTTACCTGTAAATTATTTAAAAAACAAATGCCTCCCCTCCAGCTTCCCATTAATAATTCATTCCAAAAAGAGGCTGATTATAGGTGGCATAAGCATACTTGCTTTATTTTTAATAGGTTTTTTCCTTACTCGATAAGTCCAGACATTAGATCAGAACACAAGTCAAGAAACCCATGAATTTTACATACCCTGTGAAAAACTGGTCCAAGGTTTCTGGTTATATTTTTGAAGGCATTTTCTATTAAATAATAAACCAAGAAGGAAATCCTCTCCTAAGTTCTGCTCACTGCTTTAATAGTTTCAGCGTGAGAAGCTTCAAGATCAAAGTAAAACCTGGATAGTGGATTCTCACATTGCCTGGCAAGTGTACCAAGAGCGTCACTGGCAAACTACAGGTCATAAAGATCCAAAATCCAGGTTTTCAGATGTTCGGCTTTTAAAGAGGAGCAGTGGGTCTGACATTTCTAAGTCTGCATATTCTATAAAAAAGGTACACTGCAAACATAATTTTGCAGCTTAGCCATTGTACAATACACTGATATTACTTGAAGATTTTAAAGCTAGGACCTAACCATAGTTCAATGTGGATTCTCCCCACCACATTTTCTTTTGGAGAAAAACAGTATTTATATCATTGTTGACGTAGATACCTTAAAAGGACCTGGATATAAAAGTGATAAGCCCACAATAGAATGAGTCAGTCGCATGGTAACCCTGGGGCATATTTATCCCTACTGAAAGCCAGAGTAATTTTAGAGACTTCAATTGAATTATACCTTTTTCAGCCACTCTAAATTTGGCCCATTACATTTTTTTTTTTGCTATGGAAAACAAAATGCTCGTTTTTGTTTTGTTTTTCCCAATGATGGAGATGAAATTTGTGAGCATCATGACACTAGGGACAAACTGGGAGAATGATGTTCACTCTTTTTACAGAGAAAATGGAAATTCAAGAGACAAAAATCCTACTTAAGTCAACTATACATTACAAATATCAAGAGCATGGGTATAACAAACAATTTTGTTATGGTTTCTAAATATTTTGAGCAGTCAATACACAATGATTATGAACGTTAAGAAATCATCAACATCAAACAGATCATCATTATTCATGTAATACTAACAATAAGACTTCGTGCTACATGGAAAGAGCAAAGTATTATTATTTACCATTTTCATCCATGGGTTTGGAAGTAATTTATGAAGTGAGGAGAGCATCTCAATCCCTGTTTGGCAGATGGGAAAAATTAAGCAGAAAGTGATCTCCTGGGCTTCCAAGGCAATGCCCTACCACTGGACACTTAGGCTCCAATTAAGTAAAGCACTTATGGATGTGCTTAATTGTATAAAAAAAAGGTGTGCAAGTCCATCTTTGTCGAGCAAAACACCAACTCATGCTTAGTGCAGCACACAATATCTGACTTATATAAATACTTCATGCAAAGCACAGTCAAACACTCAAAAGCCAAGAAAAGCCTAATTATTGCCCCACACATAGGCCTAACTCTGCGAGGCTGAAATTGGTTTCTTATCTGTGCTTCCCAGTTCCCCTATACGCAACATGTGGATTAGGAAGCAATTGTTAATTGCATACTATTAATTCAGAATGCTCATTTCCTTATTCAGCACACAAGATGCATGATGCACAGTGAATGAGAAAGAGGTACAGCACTTATTTTTAAACAGCGTATTAAAAATAGAAGCAAAGAGGAAAACAATTGCTTTCAAAGAATTTTAAAAATACTAATTCCCACTGGGAAAATTATCTACTTATTTTTAAATATTTTAATAAATGAAATATACTGATACATTATTTCAATGCATTACTGTATCTTCCCCGTTCAATGAATGCATCCCTCCTTCATTCACCGGGCACCATCCAACCTGAATGAGGCAAAGCAATTACCAAGAAGTAGTGACTGTAGAATGCTGTAATATATGTTCTCCTCTCCCCCAGACTTCCTCTCCCCACTTGTGTCCAGAGCCATCACCATCAAGGTTATAACCTAATTATTAAGGATTGAGTGGGCAAAAGGGGAAGGGAAGTGACACTTCATGTCAAAAATGACATTACCTGCTTCTAAGTCACTGACAACTTGGAAGAAAATGATCTTGAATGCTTTTGGATCAGTGTCCTAATAGATAAAGGACAAGATAGGATACCAGTTGGTATCTGCCACAAACCATCCTTAGTGTGATTTGAACAGGATGACCAGCTCTTTAGGAACATATAGAAAAAAAGCTGCATGATCATGGGGGACTTCAATCTGAGCAACAGACACTGGAGGTTTCATATGCTGCCAGTACTAAAACATCCTCATAATTTCAAAACATAGACAACAATTTCTTATCTCAAAAGCATTGCAACCAACACGGAGGAATTCTATATTAGATCTTCTCCTGATAGAAAAAGGAAATGATCACAGAACTAAAATTTTGGGGTAGCTTAGATACAAGTGATCACATTTGTTATGTGCAAACCAAATAAAGTTCAAACCAGTAATACGTAAACTTGGTGCTTTATAAGGGCTAATTTCATAAAACTAAACTATTATGAGCCAAATCACATTTAAGCAGAAAAATGTGAATAATTGGGAATTGTTCAAGAACATTTTACTAGAGGCCCAAAAAGCCACAGTCTCACAATTGAGAAAAAAAGATTGTACTGGCTAAAAAACAACTTGGCTTAGAGGGGAAGTAAAGGCAGCTGTAACAAATAAAACAATATAACAAATTGAAGGGGAGGTTGATTAAATCAGAAACTAGGAATTGTAGAACATTGATAAGGGAAGCTGAAAGAAACACGGAACAATCTATGGGCAGTAGAGTTAAGGAAAATAAGAGAGGGTTTTTTTTGTTTGTTTGTTTGTTTGTTTGTTTTTTTTAAGAATATTAGGAACAAAAAGAATCCTAACAATGGTATCAGTCCATTACTAGATGGAAATGGTAGAGCCTTCAATAATAATGCAGAAAGTTCAATAAATATTTCTCTTCTGTATTTGGGGGGAAAAAACAGAGATATTGTAGTTCTCATATGATAAAGATCACTTTCCATTCTAATAGTAACACAGAAGGATGTTAAACAGCAGCTACTACCAAAGTTAAATATTTTAAAATCAGCAAGTCTGGGTAACTTGAATCCAAGAGATTTAAAAGAGCCGGCCAAGGAGTTTGCTGGACCATTTATGTCGATTTTCAAAAACTCTTGGAACATTGGAGAAATTCCAGAAAACTGGAAGAAAGCTAATGCACCAATATTTTAAAAGGGTAAACAAGATGATTCAGGTAACCATAGGCCTGTCAGCCTGATATCAATCCTGAGCAAAATAATAGAGTGGCTGATACAGGACTCAAATAATAAAGAATTAAAGGAGAGTAATATAATTAATGCCATTCATCATGTGTTTATGGAAAATAGATCCTGTCAAACTAACTTGATATAGTCGGTTTGGTTTTTTAAATGGAATTACAAGTTTGGTTGATAAAGGTAATAGTGTTGCTGCAAAATACATGGACTTCTGTAAGGCAGTTGACTTGGTACCACATGACATTTTCATTAAAAGATTAAAATGTTACAAAACTAACCTGGCACACATTAAATGGATTAAAAACTGGCTAATTTACAGGTTTTATAATGTAGTCGTAAAAGGGGAATATCATTGTGTGGGTGTGTACAGGGATTGGTTTTGGGCCTATGCTATTTAACATTTTTATCAATGAGCTGGAACAAAACATAAATCACTGAAAAAATTTAAAGATGACACAAAAATTGAGTGCATGGTAAATAATGAAGAGAACAGGTCACTGATAGAGAGCGATCTGGATTGCTGGGAAGCTGGGAGAAAATAAACAGTATGTATTTTAATATGACCAAATGTAAAGTCATGAATCTAAGAACAAAAAATGTAGCCCATATTTACAGGATCAACTGAACATGAGCTTGCAGTGAGATATTATGGCCAAAAGGGCTGATACAATTCTTGGATGTATAAACAGGGAAATCTCAAATAAGAGTATTCAGGTTATGCTACCTCTGTATTTGGCACTGGTGTGACAAATTGGAGAGAGTTCAAAGGAAGACACACAAAAGTGATTAAAGGATTGGAAAACATGCTTTATAGCGAGAGAATCAAGACACTAAATTCATTTTCCTTAATTAAGAGAAGATTAAGGGCTGACTTGATCACAGTTTATAATACTTACATGGGGAACAACTATTTGATAACAGGCTTGTTAGTAATGATAATATAGTATTTAGGCCTGTTTATTTGCCTGAGATAGAATTTTAGGTTTTGTTTGCCCATTTGTATTTTGAGGTTTTTAAAATACAACTGTTTGTGTCTTATATCCTTACTGACATAAGTGAACAAAGGCAGTGTGGGTTGCTTCTGCCTACAGCCAGATGGGGTTTTTAGAAAAATGAGAAAAGATAAGAAATAGAGTGAAAGTGCTGCTGGGTAGGGTGGGAGTTTGATATACAAATGTACAACTGAAGGACAGTTCTGCCTCAACTCCTCTCCCAAGACAAGGTTAAGCAACCAGTTGGGAGGGGCAAGGAGGATGAGGGAAGAGGTATAAGAAACAAAAAGTAAAAGAAAAGGTGTCCCTGGCTGGTACATAATCTCACTCCCTACCCCTCCCCATGGGGTACAAAAGAGGTGGTACCAAAGCCCCCATACTCAAGACCCTCCAAAACAGAACATGACCATAAATTGTAAGGGTTGGTACCAGGGGTGAGCACTACAGGTAGAGTTAAGCCTGTTAAGGGGAGGGGGGAGGGGGAAGAGCTCTAAGGGTGTATAGAGATGTGCATACGTTTGCTTGTTAACCCCAATAAACATCACATTGCCTGCACTTTGGACTATGACCTTCTGCTTTCTTTCTGCGGGACAAGAACCAAGCTCTCTAGGGTGGGGGAGCGCAAATAGGGCTCTTCAAGCTAGCAGAAAATAGGGTTGCCAACTGTCTAATCACACAAACCCAAACACCCTTGCCCCACCCCTACACTGAGGCCCCTCCCCCTGCCACACACCTTCCCCAAGGCTCTTCCCTGATCACTCCATCCCCCCTCCCTCCGTCGCTCGCTCTCCCCCACCCTCACTCACTTTCACCAGGCTAGGGCTGGGGTGCAAGCTCTGGGAGGGCGTTTGGGTGCTGGAGGGGGCTCAAGGCCAGGGCAGGTAGTTGGGATGCAGGAGGGGGTGCGTGGTGCAAGCTCTGGGAGGGAGTTTGGGTGCAGGAGAGGACTCAGGGCTGGGGCAGGGGTGCAGGAGGGGGTGAGGTTGTGGGCTCCAACCAGGGGAGCCGCCTGAGGTAAGTGCCTTGACAGGTGGCACGGCAGGGCTAAGGCAGGCTCCCTGCCTACCCTGGCCCTGCGCCGCTCCTGGAAGCGGCTGACATGTCCCTCTGGCAGCGGATCCTAGGTGGGGGGGCCGCAGGGGGTCTCCACACACTGCCTGCACTCACAGGCACCACCTCTGCAGCTCACATTGGTCACAGTTCCAGCCAATGGGAGCTGCGGAATCAGCACACAGGGCAGGGGCAGCACACGGAGCCCCATGTCCCCATCCCTCCCCCCATCTAGGAGCTGCTGCACATGCTGGCCACTTCTGGGAGCGGCGCGGGGTCAGGGCACGTAGGGAGCCTGCCTTAGCCCTGATGCACCCCCAGACTTTTAGAGCCTAAAATCTCCCGGTTTGGCTTCAGTAGCCTCCAGGAGATAGGGCCTGATACCAGGAGGGTTGGCAACCCTAGAAGAGAAAGGTATAACAAGATCCAGTAGCCAGAAGTTGAAGCTAGACAAGTCTGAAGATTAGGTGTAAATTAACAACAATTTACCGAAGTCATGGTGGATACTCCAACACTAGCAACTTTTAAGTCAAAGTTGGATGTTTTTCTAAAAGATATACAGTACTCTAGTTCAAACAGGAATTAGTTCAGGGAAATCAATGGCCTGTGTTAGAAGAGGTCAGACCAGAAGACCACAGTGTGGTCCCTCCTGGTCTTATAGTACTTAGAACCCCCTTCCCCTCACCCAGACCCTCCTCCTCCACATATACCCCCTAAGCCCAGACCCCTTTCCCCTCTGCCCAGACCCCCTACCCAATCCCTGTCTCCTTAGACCCTCACTCCCCACATATCCCACACCCTGTCCAACCCCCCCATTCCCCTCTACCCAGACCCTCCTCCTCCACATATACCCCCTAAGCCCAGACCCCTTTCCCCTCTGCCCAGACCCTCTACCCAATCCCTGTCTCCTTAGACCCTCACTCCCCACATATCCCACACCCTGTCCAACCCCCCCTCCCCCATTCCCTTCTACCCAGACCCTCCTCGTCCCCCACATATACCCCCTAAGCCCAGACCCCCCTACCCAATCCCTTGTCTTCCTA